GGAAAACTAAGAAACAAAAAAAAAAAAAAAAAACGAAAAGATGACAGAAATAGGAAAATAGGAAATAACAGTTGAGACATTGAAGTTTTTTAAATGTGGGAGTACTTTAGGGGACGAAATTAACTTTAATTCGGGAAAAGTTGGTCAAAAGTTGAATTACATGAATTGTTCATACATACATTGGTGACACGACAATAATAAAAATTTTTTTTCACTTATATTAGTTTGACATTCTTTACATTTTATTTTTTTATTTTACTTTTTTCCTCAATCTTTTTCTTTTTTCTTCTGTCAATTTTCTTTTTCTTTTTATGAATAATAATGACAGCATGTTAAATATTTTTTTTACCTATTTTTTATTATTATTATTATTATTATTATTATTGTTATTATTATTATTATTACCATTATTATTTTTTATTATTAAAATAGCGGGAAAAAATAAAAGTGAAGAAAAAAGTTTTCTCTCAATAATTTTAAGTGGAAGTATCGTCGTGTCTATGTGCACATATATACATATATATATATATATATATATATGCACACATATATGTATATATATATATATATATGTTCGCGCATTTGTATATGCGCATTTGTATATGCGGGTGTGTGTATATGTGTGTGTGTGTGTGTGTGTGTGTGCGTGTGTGTGTGTGTGTGTATGCATGTATGTATGTATGTGTGTCATTCCATATGTTTCCTGATATGTTATCATTTAATTGTAATAAATTTTGTTATTCGAAATAAATGTTGAATTTTAATACGTGATAAAATTTGATGTAAATTGTAATTAATTTAAAAAAGAAAAAAGATTATTTTTATAGATGAAAGAAACACGGATAACATGTGATACCGAAATTCCAATATCAACAGGTAATGGCAACAGATTTAATCATTGCATTGGAAAATATCATAATTATAGCTTACCACATGGTATAACAATTGCTAATGATAACGATAAACATTATGATAAGCCACAAAAGGAGGATGATTTATCAATGGAAATTATTGGATCAACAGAAGGAACAACAACAATGAATTGTATACATAATAATGAAACATGTAATCAATGTTATTCGGATATTCGTCTTCGTAATTATGATATACCCAAGGATACTATTAATAGTAACATTTTGGAAAGGTTATCATAATTTTCTTCCTTTATATTAAATATTCAGTTTAATTCATTTAATATTATATTTTAATTAAAAAAAAAATTATCAACTATTATTAATTATGCATTAGAATAATATTATTTCAGTTAATAGTTGTAATATATCAAAGAATGAATGTAATCATAATCATTGATTTGGTAAACTATTTTTTTTTTTAATGATAAATTGAGTATTTCAGTCTTTCTGTTAATTTAACATGATCAGATAAACATTATTTTTATTTTTACTATTATTTTCACTATTATTTTATCATTATTTATTACTATTATTTTTGATACTATTATTACTATTATTTTTATTATTATTTTCAACACTATTATTACTATTATTTTTATTATTACTTTTATTATTATTATTTTTAATACTACCATTACTATTACTTTTATTATTATTTTTGTTACTATTATTTTTAGTACTATTATTACTATTACTTTTATTATTATTTTTATTACTATTATTTTTTATACCATTATTACTATTATTTTTATTGTTATTTTTATTGGTGTTATT